CATTCTTTCATGTGTTTGTTGGCAATCTGTATATCTTCTTTGGAGAAATGTCTATTTAGGTCTTCTGCCCATTTTTGGATTGGGTTGTTTGTTTTTTTGTTATTGAGCTCCATGAGCTGCTTGTAAATCTTGGAGATTAATCCTTTGTCAGTTACTTCATTTGCAAATTATTTCTCCCATTCTGAGGTTTGTCTTTTGGTCTTGTTTATGGTTTCCTTTGCTGTGCAAAAGCTTTTAAGTTTCATTAGGTCCCATTTGTTTATTTTTGTTTTTATTTCCATTTCTCTAGGAGGTGGGTCAAAAAGGATCTTGCTGTGATTTATGTCATAGAGTGTTCTGTCTATGTTTTCCTCTAAGAGTTTGATAGTTTCTGGCCTTACATTTAGATCTTTAATCCATTTTGAGTTTATTTTTGTGTATGGTGTTAGGGAGTGTTCTAATTTCATACTTTTACATGTACCTGTCCAGTTTTCCCAGCACCACTTATTGAAGAGGCTGTCTATTCTCCACTGTATATTCTTGCCTCCTTTATCAAAGATAAGGTGACCATATGTGTGTGGGTTTATCTCTGGACAGGTGGACTTTGGGAGCAAGATATATTATTTTTTCCCCTTTCCCTCTTTTTGTGAGTGTGTATGTGTATGCTTCTGTGTGAGATTTTGTCTGTATAGCTCTGCTTTCACCATTTGCCCTAGGGTTCTGTCCGTCCAGTTTTTATTTTGTTGTTTAAAAAAAAAAACTTTTTTCTTAATAATTGTTTTTTATTTTAATAACTTTATTTTATTTTATCTTATCCTCCTTCTTTCTATTTTTTCTCCCCTTTATTCTGAGCCGTGTGGATGAAAGGCTCTTGGTGCTCCAGCCAGGCATCAGGGCTGTGCCTCTGAGGTGGGAGAGCCAAGTTCAGGACACTGGTCCACAGGAGACCTCCCAGCTCCATGTAATATCAAACGGCGAAAATCTCCCAGAGATCTCCATCTCAACATCAAGACCCAGCTTCACTCAATGACCAGCAAGCTACAGTGCTGGACACCCTATGCCAAACAACTAGCAAGACAGGAACACAACCCCACCCATTAGCAGAGAGGCTGCCTAAAATCATAATAAGGCCACAGACACCCCAAAACACACCACCGGATGTGATCCTGCCCACCAGAGAGACAAGATCCAGCCTCATCCACCAGAACACAGGCACTAGTCCCCTCCACCCACTGAACCAACCTTGTAATACGTTTCTAAGCTCTTCCAAGTTTCCCTACTCAGATCCATCTTTTCCAAAGAGCTTCCCACACTTCCACCTTTTCTCCCTTGCCCCTTTACTTAATCCCTATTGAAATTTAACTGTGACTTTGGTTCTGTTTCCTGTGCCTGATTTTCAAAGAAGGAGACCTAAACCACCTCCTCCCTCCCTATATTTTTGTAGGGGCCTTTACAAAACAGTTTCTCAGTCAAAACTTGGAATAACTAGATAATTACAAGTGATTAAAACACGAATCTATTTCTTTGTTTTAACTTTTATATCAAATGATAACACATTAAATGTCCTGTATGCAAGAACTTTCAGTAATCAGGTAATGTATTTTGAAGATATCTGTAACATTTACATGACTATGATATATACCTAGAACAAGGAAACCCTGAAGTTATACTCCAAACTTTATTCTACATGTGCTCAATTTGCCTGGTTTTGACTGTTATCAAAGTAGAATACATATCCATTATAACAGTGTTTATTTTGTTGTTTTTTTTAAAGGAAGCAGTTTTATATAATTATCCAAGTTTAATTTAATTTGTATAGTAAATGCAATTAGGAAGAGGATGCTGTCTGGAAAAACTGCATTTCTGCGTTTTTTACAAATCATTCTGTCTAGGAGTAACAGGAGGATCTAGAATGATTGATTCTAAATACCACAGATGATAATCTTTATCAGTTTTCAGTTCATTCTTCCAGATAACTATGGACATCCTTTAAATTTTGTTGAAATTTTGTGGTATAGACTTTAGACCAGAAAAACATTAGAAATGTTTCCTAGAACTTTCACTTGATCTGATCACATGACTTATGGAAAGATCCCAAGCTAAACGTTGAAATTTCTACTGTCTTTAGGTTATTTTTTTCCTGGTCCATTTTCTTCTTCCTTTCACTTCTGTAGATTAAACATCCTCAAAATAATATTAATAAACATATCATCTAAACGGGATCATTTTTCCTGTAGTTAAATAGACTGAGAAATGTCAGCCTTGGAACCAGGGAATTATTAACAGAACCAAAGTCTCTGTGTCCCTTGGTCATCATCCTTAGGTGTCTGAAGTTTGAGACCGGAGGTTGGCACTAGAACTTTTAAAAGAAAACAGAAAGCAAAATTCAGAGAGAACAGGGCTTCCCTGGTGGCACAGTGGTTAAGAATCCGCCTTCCAATGCAGAGGTCACGGGTTCGAGCCATGGTCGGGGAAGTTCCCACATGCCGCGGAGCAACTAAGCCCGTGCACCACAACTACTGAGCCTGTGCTCTAGAGCCCACATGACACAACTACTGAGCCCATGTGCCACAACTACTGAAGCCCATGTGTCTAGAGCCTGTGCTCCACAACAAGAGAAACAGCTGCAATGAGAAGCCCGTGCACTGCAACAAAGAGTAGCCCCCACTCGACGCAACTAAAGAAAGCCCACACGCAGCAACGAAGACCCAACACAGCTGAAAATTAATTAATTAATTTGAAAAAAAGATTCAGAGAGAACAGATGTTTGCTTATAAATTCATTATTTACTACATGTGCTATAGACGTAGGAGCCTGACTTGAGCTTGAACCAGGTTAACCTAAGAGACAGAGTCAGACAACCATTAGATACAAAGACCAAAGTCATAGAATCTGCAGCTTCCCTTCTGGGAGACTGCAGTCTTAACTGCCACAGCAAAAGTCCTACCTATTCAGTGAAAGGCTTGGTCAACTCTGATCTGAAATAGACTTAATTCCATTTTCCAGCTGGGTCAAGCTTAAGAGTTGGTAAAAGTCAAGTTAGGTCTGCAAATGTGCTTGACTTCTAGACCTAAACTGATTTGCTTTCTGAGGATGAAACTAAAAAGGTCACTCCTCTTCTGAATACTTTAGGAATAAGCAGGTTTTACAGTTTTGGAGGATAAGCCAGATGGAAGATTTTTAGGTTATGGAGTCTTCATAGTTGGTGACCACACTGTAGTAAAGAGAGCCCAAACATTAGTTATTTTTTTAGTTCTTGGAATTCTAGGCCAGTGAAGAAAATTCTAGCCCAGTGCAGTGCATCTATATCAGGGAAGATGTTTTGGATGGTGTATTTTAAAAGCTGATGTAAAGCCAAGGACAAAGGATGCAGGGGACAGAAGAGAAGGATAATAGAACAATGAGATGTTAGGGAAGAATGCTTTTAGCTTAACTCATTGGTGTCTGGGGAAATACAGGGAAGAGTGCTCACTACCACCCCAGTTATTTCAGTTTTCAAAATACATTTTGGTCTAGAATTGCACATACTTCCCAATATCCCAATGCACCTTTCTGCTATGTTTACTTCTCTGTATTCCTCTCTCTCTCTTCACTGCCAACACCCATCCCATGCCACCTCCAGGTCAGAACCGTTTTAACTCTGTCTTCAAGAATGTTGGGGCAAGTTGAGAGAGAAGGAAAAGAGAAACCAATTAGATGGGGATAGCTAGAGATTTTGTAGACTCTATCCCCTTTAAAACTTCGATATACATGTGTGATTGGGCACACACACAGTCTTCTTTCATGCCTAGTACATTTTTTAAAAAGAGATGAACACAAATGAGAAGAAACAAAATGAGAGGGCAAAGAGACATACTAGGTATCACTGCCTCTGGGAAGCCGTCTGTAAACATGCCGTCTTCTCTGACCCCTGCCCTTCCCTCTAAGTAGAGTGAGAAGATCCTCACCATATTCCCATAGTGCATTGGTGATATTTTGTTATGCTTATCACCCTGTATTTTATTGTTTTCTTATACAGTTTTCGCCTCACCTGGACTGTGAACTACTTAAAGCCAGGATGTCTATGTTATTTACTGTGTGCGTGTGAGATGGGTAGAATGCTGTGATTTCCCATGTCCTTGGGACATTTCATTGTAAAGGATTGAGTATGGGAAGCATGTGATTGTTCCACTAAAACCTCATGATAAAATAATTTATGACTCTCTCTTTATTATATTTTATGTGTTCAAATCTGTAATATGAGCCTCTTTTTAATGATCTAAGTAGACAGTGGCTAGAAGGATAAAGGTAAATAGTATCCAGGCACAACTATGTTATTAACACATAACAGACAAGTGTGGGTAGCTATGGAAAAGTGAATTGGTCATAATCTTAAAGTGGTCCAGTCAGAGAAACTAAATTAGGTTAACTAAAACAACCCATTCATTTTAACCACTTTACTTCTAAAATACTGAATCATTACCATTTTGTCTGGTTCTGATATCCTTCATGCCAAAATAATCAATATTAAGGCAGTCAGAATTACCAAGTGAACTACTGTGTATGTCCATCAAGAATGTTTCTCAGAAACTTCATTCACTGTGACTCAATATGGATTTACATGTTGAGATTGAGGTCTGTATATGATTATTTTTAAGAAAAATTCTAGATCCAAAAACACCTCATTGGTTCAGATAACATGAACTACAGTGAAACTTTAGCACACTAAAAAATTTGGAGGATCCTCTGCCATTACAACAGAATTTCAAACCAAACCCCAAAACCTAATTAAAGTCATATTTTTATCACCTTCTTTTCCCTAATTTTATAAAACCAGATGATAGCTATTCAGAAAATACGGTACATATTAATTGCAGTGATCAGGTTAACAATTCCCAAAGAAATTATATATTTTTTGATGTCATGTACTTAAAACTATGGGTCAGCTTATTTCAGTTTTCAAAATACATTTTGGTCTAGAATTGCACATACTTCCCAATATCAGAGTAAACCGTAATGCCTCATTTTATCCTCCATTACAGAAGACAATAGATGTGCATCTTCGAATGCAGTGTCCTGCACCAAGTGCCTTGCGCTGGGTCCGGAATGTGGATGGTGTGCTCAAGAGGTGTGCCTTTTTCTTTCTTTCCTTTTTTGCTCTTTTCTCTTTTCCTTAAAGTTGACCTTCTTTCTAGCATGATTTCACTGACCTAATATTCTGTGCCTTGAAGATGCATCAGGAAAAAGAAAGATACTGCTGAGCATCAGGAAAATTTTCTTTGGTTTCATGCTTGGAAACAGCATATCTGGCTGAATATAAGTATAACCTTTTTATTAGGAAAATTATGGTAATTTTGAAATGAAGTGCAAACCATTTTATGTTTTCCATCTGTTCTATAGAGAGAATTGGCAAACACGGATAGCAACTTTTGATAGGTCAGTAGGCTTTGTGTGAAATTCTTGCTGCAGCTTGGGGCATTAGGTTATATATCCAAGTTGGATCACTGTCTTGTGCTTGCTTATTAAAGAAAAGCAAGCTAATTTATTGTTCCATCTCATTTGTTTTTATTTGAAATACTTGGAGATAAGTGATTTGCTCCATTTCATAACACTGTACATCAGTTCACTGGCTACTTATGCAAAATGGGATGCTTTTCTTTGACATGTGACCCTATTCATGCAATGTTGTGTACATTAAATTCTGTTACATTGAGAATAACCAGAAAATGTTTATTCTTCCAAATTTGTGTTTTTATAGTCAAATAAAGAAAAACATATCCCAATAACAAACTTTTTAGTAAAACGATTATAATGTGTTCCTTCCTTCTTGGCTCTAAACTTGTATTGAGTTTTTTCTTTTGTTGGTAATCTTCAATCAAAACTACCTTATATAATAAGTTTCAATGAGGAAGCCAACTGCTAATTTGGGTTTTTTTTTTATGAGATTACCTAGGTAACTTTACAATTATTTATGTAGTTCCTGAGAAGTGAAACAAACAGACCTTTAATGGCCTTTTGCTTGACATGAAGAGAAATCTCTAGGTTTTGCAGCCTCTGATTTAGATGAAAAAACTGTATCTACCATTATCTTTCCAATTTCTCCTGTTATTACTTGTCCTTTTATACATCCCCCAAGAGGAAACAGAAATATGAAAAGTAGCAAAGGATGATGGACATTACTTTCTTCTATGCAACAAGTCAGGAAAAAGGCAGGGGAGGGGATCATGAAACAGTAGCCATGTCTTCTGAAAGTAAGCAGCCCTCCTACTGACAGCCCAAAGGCTTCCTGGACGTACTCGGGCTTTATCGGTCAGAAAATCAGATGTCACTCAAAACTAGGCAGTGCTTTGCCAGAACCCATGGAGCCAGGCAATGTCATAGAGAGGACAATTCCACAGTTTCCAGGACCAATCTCATTCCCTCCTATGATCCAAATGACCAGACAGGATTCACTCTTTTCTCTGAGCCTCCCTTTCCACATCTCTATAACCTTCAGTTTGAAGTTTACTTCCAGTTTTTCCTTGTCAGGTATGTTTTACATTTGTTGATATGTTGATATTTCCTGATCCTCACCCAACACTCCGTTTTAGATCTCTACTGCATGACCAAGGAAGATGATTAGAGTTGTGAAGATTATGCCAACTTAATTCAGCTCCTGAGAAGTTTAGTGACTATAGTTTAGAGGGATTTTCAAAAGATGGTTCAGAAACCCAGTTACCAGCTAAATGCAACATGCCACTCATATAGAATGTCAGTTTCCAGAGAGCACCCTTCTCCATCTCACACCTCTACTGGCATGAAAAGTCTGGAGAGTCACAGTTATGGGAGTAGCAATGTCAGTCCTGCCACAGAGGAGGGATTTTGTGTATTCAGAGGAATGGGTGGTCAAATGGAAGGAGGTAAGCCAAGGAGGAAACGTAGGGTGGCTTCCAGAGGTGTCTGCTGTTGGTCCAATCCTCAGAAGGGGATCTCAGAAAACATCCAGAAATGACTTGGCTGTTCATATCCCGAAATATTCTTCTATGTGGTGCAGGGTAGTCTAATTTATGTGTTGACAAAGCAGGCTCTGAAATGAGATCAACTCGGATTCAAATCCCAGTGCCATCCATTTCCAACTATGTAAACTTGGCCATGTTAACCTACCCACTCTGAGACTCAGTTTTCCCTAGTTCTAAAATGGAAATAATAACTGTAACTATGACACACTGTTGTGAAGTTTAAATGAAACTGCATGTGGAAGGCATTTAGCACACAGGCATTGCTTAAGTTACTATAAGAACTATGGTGAGACTCTAGAGCAATTCATTCAGACTTAGGAAACTAAGAAAATTGCCTGTGTTAAGAATACAACGTCAGGGGAAGCAAACCATGTTAGCACTCAGTCACTGGCCATATCATTAACAGAAGGAGCTGTCCACTCCCTACATGCTGACCTGACACCACTGAAAGGAAAAATGCAATAGTTAATTTTGAAAGATTGCCCACCATTTAGTCACATATGCAACTGATGGTTTTATTTCTCAGCCAGCAAGAGTAGAGGGACAAGAAAGAAAGAGGCATTTTTTTCTCTGTTCATGATTAGAAAAGATAAACATGAACAACTTAAGCCTGGTTTGTATAATTCTCAAAGCTGGTCAAAAGTAAAAGTTCACTAGAAAATTTACACAGAGTATAATCAATTTGTCTGCATTCTTGTGTGGCATGTCAATCTGCCATTCTGTATATTTTGACTTCTCTTTCTCTCCATGCTACATAAAAGGAACTGGAAAATATTTAGGATAGATAAAATTGTATCAATATTACCTAGTTCAATGCCTCATATTCATTTTAACATATGTGAAAGACTTGACATAACATATGTGAAAAAAAAAGAAGACTTAACGTATGTGAAAGTTTTGAAGACTTCTCTTCCTCTTCTGCCTGATATGTCAGATACAGATTGTGATTACATAGCCAGAAGTTTACAGGGCAGCCTTGGAGCATAATTAAACTTAAATACAATACAAAGGGCAGTCACTGTCAAAAAGGAAGATGATAGAATTCTTTCATTTCTGTGCAGATTGCCATGCTTGGAGGTTAGAAAGACTCAGAAATGAGTAGGAGAAAAACTTCTTCCTATTTATATCTCCAGACTATTACATTAAATGGATGAAAGTAACAACTGATGAGAAGCCAACCAGGGTAACTTTCTAACCAGGGCTTTTCATTCTCAAATAGGTTTTAGACAGCTGGAGTATAAGTTTGCTTGAGTATTTCTTGTAGAAAAAGTAAAATATAAGAATTAGAAGACATTAAAATGACACAAAACACCAAAAGTTAAAAGGGTGTGGTTTCAAATTCTTTTCCTTTATACAGAGTGGAAAGTAGGCCACAGTGGGTAGGGGCAGCATTCCATTCTTTATTTTGATGCCACGATCTTTTCTTCCCTTTTCAAACCTAATTGTCAAATTGGCAATGTTTTTCTAACTTAGTTTTTACAGTAGAGTAAAAACAGCCATGCTGATTCAGACACTGCAAAACAAATGATATTTTTTTGCCTATTTCAGCAAAATGATTTGACATTTAAAGGTCAAATGGCGTAGCTTGATGTATAGTTGCAGTGAATTAACCACCCTCCCCTCTTTTTCATTCTGTATATACAAATCACAAAATTTCCGGCTGAAAAGAAAAATCAGAGTTATTTGTACTTTATTTCCTTTCCTGATTTGAAGGCCTGCAGTTTTTACTTAAATTAATTAAATTAAAACACATGTGGCCCTTGGTCTGTGGCCTTCATGGGAGGCATGAATGAGCATACATGTACCAAGCCTTATGCGCCCTCAGTATTCCCCAGGCTCTGGGACAGCTGAGATCCCCCATCCAGCCCCTTATATCTAGCAGTATATGCCACCTTTCTCTGAGGAGCTCCAAGCTGTTTAAAAACTAAATCTCACATTCATAACCTCTAAGTTTTAACAACAAATAGGATAAACTTGGAAATGAGAAATTAAGGCTTTAAACATTTTAAACTTGAGCAAGCAAGGTCAATAGCAAGGCAAATCGAATTCTTCTATTCCCATGAAGTCATTCACCAATGGCACCTGGAGATCTTGACTGAAAAGAACATATTCTCTCTTGTCTTTTTTTAAAACAAATTTATTTATTTATTTTTTGGCTGCGTTGGGTCTTTGTTGCTGTGTGTAGGCTTTTCTCTAGTTGCGACGAGTGGGGGCTACTCTTCGTTGCAGTGCGCTGCCTTCTCACTGCAGTGGCTTCTCTTGCAGAGCACGGGCTCTAGGCCGCGGACTTCAGTAGTTGTGGCACTTGGGCTCAGTAGTTGTGGCTCCCGGGATCTAGAGGGCAGGCTCAGTAGTCGTGGGGCACGGGCTTAGTTGCTCCGCAGCATGTGGGATCTTCCCCGACCAGGGCTTGAACCTGTGTCCCCTGCATTGGCAGGTGGATTCTCAACCACCATGCCACCAGGGAAGCCCTCTCTTTTGTCTTTTAATTATATTTATATTACAACTGTGCACCACACTCTAATTCAGGATGAGTACTGTAAAGGGTCACATAGTAAAATTTTTTGTGCCACATACTATCTCTGTTGTACATTCTTCTTCTCCGTTTTTATTGTTTTACAGCATTTTAAAAATGTAACAAGTATTTTTTAGCACTCAAGCCATACAAAAACAAGCCATGAGCTGTGTTTGTCCCACTGTCTCTAGCTTTCCAACTCTTTTTCTAAATTGAGAGAAGAATTAAATTAAAATCTTTGTATGAATGTTTTTATATTGCCTACCACCATCCCATCTAATTCCTCACCAGTGCCAAGGATCTCCTTATTCATAATTAGTAATCTCATAGACAAGTAATATTAAACTTGAATATAATCTCTTTTCTCCATAACCCTATGACATTCTGTGCTTCCCCTAAATTTAATGCCTATGATAATTACATTTACTTGCTTAATGGCTGAATTCACTGATGGGCTGTTGACTCTGATAACAGGGACTCTATCTGTCGTGTTCCAGTCTGTATCCTCAGCACCTAACAAACTACTGTCCCTGAGTAAGTATTCAGTCAACATTCTTTGATTGAATGAGTAATTGATCAGAAACCCAGTTCTTTGAATCGGTTAAACTAGATGAGGAATGACTGAATGCCAGATCAAAATAGCCACATCCAGGAAGATCACTAAGCAAATATCCAGCCAACATGTAAGCAAATATCCCAAATAATTCAGGCCAACATTATATATAGTAAACTATATTTCTATACTTTCCAATACATTTCCTGTTCTTAGGAAAAAACCTGAATGGTTACATTCAAAAATAAAAATATCAAATCTTTCTCAGTCAAGATAAATTATATTTTAAGCTTGCTCCATTAATTCCAAGTTTACTGGATGGCTATTGGATTACCATCAATTAACCAGTGCTGAATGGTAATGAAAGTTCAAGATTCTGTTAAAAATCAGGAGAATTTGAGCTGCCCTTTTATAACTCCCAGCCTCATTATGAGCATCTTCCTTGGTTTACTGAATTACAGGCTGTTACGTGTATAAGAAGTCGGGGAATTTTTAGTCTAAGAAATATAGATTTCCAATTCATTCTTTTATGAATTTTCAGTACCTAATTAGGCATGTGATTTCTAAGGACTTGCTCTCACATTCCAAACATAATAGTATATAGTAAACATACCAGTTGGGTTCTTTGAGAACTGAAGCTTACATGTGGAACCACACTGAATGGTCTATTTTGGCTAAATTTTCTTTTGGAGCAGTATTTCCAAAGTAAAACATTTAGAAGGAATTAAGTTGGTATAATTTTAAAGTGATCAGTTAACAATATTTAAAGTACTTAGTTTAAATCTCCTTTTTAATATTCATTTTCTTCTTTCAAAATAACATTTAGAAATTAAAGCTTGATTTAAGACAAATTTGCCAGTATTCTTATTGGAAACATGCAGCTATTCTTAACAGTTGTATAATTTGTACAATATTGGAAGATGGCTTCTTTGCAGTGTTTGTTATATGGTTTTCTTTGGTTATAACTGAGATGATATGCACTAAAAACATCAGTGATTTTCCTTCTTTTAAACAGGATTTCATTTCAGGTGGATCAAAGAATGAACGTTGTGATATTGTTTCCAATTTAATAAACAAAGGCTGCTCAATTGATTTGATAGAATACCCATCTGTGCATGTAACACCAAGTGAAAATGAAATCAATACCCAGGTGACACCAGGAGAAGTGCTGATTCAGCTACGTCAAGGTATGGTTATTTTCAAATAAATCAATGATGATTCTTCATTTGAAATTATATCTAGCTTTATTTGCTCATATTTAACATTTTATGGCAGGCAGTATTGCTGCAGTAGAAATAAGAGTGGGCTCAGAATCAAGAAATCAGAATTCTAGTCTTTCGTATGCCTATAGCTAGCTGTGTGGCCTTGGACACTCTGCAAACCTGACCACACTATACTATAATTATGTGTTTCCAAACTTGATCACATTGTACTGTAATTGTGTTCCTATGCCACTGACAGCTCTGGAAGAAAGAGAACATGTTTTATTCCACTCTGTTTCTCCAATGCCTAACAGAGTGCTGGCATGTAGTAAGCACTCCATAAGTGTTTGCTGAATTTGTTAGTTGATTAATTAGTAAGAGATGTGAATTAAGCTAAGTCTTAGAGCCTGTGTGATAAGCTTGTAACAGAAAACTATAATTCATAATTACCATAATTAACTTGAGCTGATTTGGCCCCTGAGAGTAACATACACTTTTCCTCCAATACTTCTCTTATACTTGTCCTTCCACACCACTGTATTGCACATGTAGCAGGCCACTGGAAATTATTCATTTTCTCCAGTGCCAGAGAATCCCAATGAACTAACTACATATGGCAAGATAAGTTCAGGTATAAAAATATGCATCACTCAACTAGATACATTTAGTTTTAAGTGGTATGCAATTGCCTTCAAGCCATCATTATTTCATTTTGGGTGGTCTTGTCCTGTCATTAAACTTTTGAATAACCATTATCGACATATGACCTCCCAATTCCAAAGCTGAGCTATTTTTCCCAGACTCTTGGATTACCAAAATAATGAAATCCATTTCTTTCTTGGCCCTAGGCATATTCCCAGCTTCCAATTAAAACTGTGCACTTCACCATATCCAACAATTATACAGCCTAGTATGGACATAAATGAGTGACAGCTGGAAAGGGATACACAAAAATTAAAGTAACTAGGTTGGTAAGATTATGACACTTGCCACCTTCTATTGCTGCCATAGCAAAATACCACAAACTATGTGGCTTAAACAACAGAAATTTATTTTCTCACAGTTCTAGGAGCTAGGAAATCTAAGATCAAGGTGCTGGCAGATTCAGTTTCTGGAGCGGGAGAGAGAATGACAGACAGACAGAAAAGGAGCTCTCTGTTGTCTACATATAAGGGCACTGAATCCACCATGAGGACCCCACCCTCAGGACCTCATCTATATCTAGTCATCTCCCAAAGGCTCCATCTCCAAACACCATCACATTGTGAGTTAGGGCTTCAATATAGAAATTTGGCTGGGTGGGGGGGCAGGGAGGGGGCAAAATTCAATCCATAATTCTTGATATATAAAATAATCTTTTCAAAGGCCATGAAATATTTTTAGAAATTAATTATATTTTATACAAGAAAACTGAACTCCAAAAAGTGAAACTGTTTTAATAGGCCAACATCTCTGAACACCTCGCAATGAAATTTAAAATCAATACAAGAGGATAAACAAATATTAAATAATAGAGAAACAAAGAAAAGATTTTCCTAAATAAATTTTATCTCCAAGAATAAATCAAAATGCTAGTCATAGACTATTTGATAATAACAATAATAACAACACACATCATAACATAATGGTATGTGTTCAAAGTTGCTCTCAGGATAATTCAAAACTTTAAATGCTTTTATTATTAAAGAAGAATGAAGCATCCAGATAAAGGTATAGAAACAACAAAAACAAAATAACCATAAGGAAAACAAGAGGAAAAAATTCATAAGTTAAGAAAAAAAAACCAAAATGGAATGCAAAATAGAAATAAAAAAGTAAAATGAACGTATAAATCCAAAATCTGGTTATTTTTAAAGCCCAATGAAATAGACAAATTGTTGGCAAAGCTAATTAAGAAAAAAGGACAAAAAGCAAATGACCTGATTATACAGACCATAACCAGAGAAACAAATATTGGGTAAAAAAAAACTTTAAGAAAATCTTAAAAATGGGAAAATGCATTAAGTATGGTAAAATATATAAATTGTGATAATAAAGATAATTTTCTAGGAAAATATACATGACTAAAATTGACTCAAGAAGAGGGAAACCCCTAAGAAACCTAATAAAGATATAAGAAGTTAAGAAAATTATAAAAGAAACTCCCCCTAAAAACATTAGGTCTAAAGGTTTTCATGGGAAGAAATGATTTCATGTTCCCCTAAACATTTAAGGAACACATTATCCCTATGCTACATAAACTCTTCCATGGTTTTAGAGAAGGCTTAGAAGCTACTCAATTTTTACAAGCTTATAACTCTAGTATCAAATCCCTAATAACATTTTAAGAAATCAAATTAAACTGCATGTGATAATAAGAGCAATGTCACCATACAAGTAGATTTAACCTAGGGTAGTTGATTGTCTTAAAATTAATGTATTTTTATCATCTTAGTTTGCCCAAAGAAGAAAAATATATATTGTTATCTCAATAGATGCCAAAAATCATACCAAAAAAATTTACTATCCATTCCTGCCCAAACCAAAATTGAAGAATACTTCTTTAATATGTATTAAAATCCTTCTGAAAGTTTTACATAAAAGCAATCAGACAAGAAAACCAAGTACGTGTTATCAACATTTTGAAAAGATAAAGCAAAATTATCATTATATGTCTACCTGGAAATCCAGGCAAATCAACGAAAACTAACCATTAAAATTAAAAATAAAAGGCCATGGCAGGAAATTTTTTAAATATTCAAAAATCAATGAAATATAACTTCAAAAGGGATCATTTCAAAGCAGCAACCTAAAATGTAAACTGCCTAGTGATAAACTTTCTAAAAAATATGTAGAGTCTATTGTGCTACGTAAAAGACAGTATGAATAGATGCAGAAGAATTTTATGTTCCTGAAGAGGAAAACACTATTATAAAAATAACAGTTTTCTATAAATATATTCTAGTAATGTAACAAAATCTAAGTGAATCAATAAATGTAAGACAGTCCCAATCAAATTTAAATGCAGTTTGTTTAAACAAACAAATGAGTATCAGTGATACTCATTATACATATATCTATCTATATCTATCTATCTATCTCTCCATATATATAACAACATATTTATTTAGGATACATTCCTAGGAATAGATTTACTAGGTCATGTGTATTACTAGATTATTCACAAGAAAAATTCATGTCCAGTTAGGCTTTCAAGAGTCAACCTCACCCATTCTCATTCTTTTTAATCTCTTCAATTTGTTAAGTGTAACTAGTCCATTAGCTGTTTTCTTTTGTCTTTTTCCTATTACTAGAAAGCTTGAATATTTTTCTTAAACTTATTATCTTTATCTCTCCACTTTGTGTGTGATTTGCCCCTCCATACAAATTTGCTTATTTTTCTCATTGAATATTAATTTTCAACAGCTTACAGATGAGGCTTATCATATATTATTTACCTCTTAAAAAATGACTAACAGCCTTTAAAAATGTCTTGCTCTTTTTTAAATACTTGAGATTTGAAAATTACAAGGTGCATTTTTTTATACTGGTATGTTACTTTTAAATTTACACACTTAAATGAATTTAGTCTGTTCTCTGCTGTAGACATAATGGTGGCTGAATCCTCCTGAGACTATAAATTAACAGTTCAAAAGTTGGGAAGTTATTTCAGTGCTGTAGATAAGCAATGGCAGTAACGGTAACAAGGCAGGAGAAAAATGGCCAGACTTGAGCGATAATCCGGAGGTTTCATCCCCAGGGATTGGTGATTGATGAGCATGGGAACACCTGGGCTCTGGCTCGAGCATCTAGGTGAGGTGGAGAAGGCTGCTCTTTGTGGAGGGGGTGAGTCTGAGTTCAAACAGACATCTTGAATTAAGGTAGTGACTCACCCATTAGAGGCTGGAGTTCTGGGGAGAGACAGGGTTGGAGATAGAGAAGCTGGAGATGTCAACATGAGGTAGTAAGTGAAGGTAGTATGAATGACATCATGGAAGTAGGAGAATCAAAACACAAATGCTTAATGTCTATGTCAATCATTATAGGGTTTGATTTTAGTCAATTCCCCAATCCTCATGAATTTCTGTGTGAAAATAGTTACTGTCTAATGTGTACGTTATCTTTCCAACATAGCATGACAGAACTATATTTTTATAATCTGCATATATAGCAAATAATTATTAAAATAGATTTAATAAGTTCATCTAAAAGTGCATTGTGGCATCAAAGACATGCCAGCTTTGGGGCATAATATATAAAGCTGTATTTTACCAACTCCAGATATATAGGAACCTCATTCCTTACAATGTAAAAGTCCTTTGCACCCTAACATATATATAAGAGTTGAGAGTCTGGTATAATGAATACCTAAGTGTAAAATACATTTATTCCCTAATATTAATTTTGATTTATTAGATTTATTTATAGATAACCACTTTACACTTACCTGATAAAAATTCATGACCTTCAATGTAGCATTTATTAAGGATTTTTAGAAGTTTTTACTTTTAAAAATAAAAATATTTCCATTATATCATATACTAAGTTTTTAAAGGAATGTTAGGGCTATATAAAATATGTATATAATATATACAATTGAATATTTTAAATGAGGTTTTAAAAAGATTTTCTTTTACTTTTCACTTCTTAAACTATACATTTTAAAATTTTTACCTATCAATTTTATGGAAAAATAATAACAGAAATAGGCGACTAATCCTAGTTTATGTCCCCTAAGAACATTGAAATGAAATGAAATCTTTAGGAAGATAGGTGAGAGAAGATAATTCTCGATTTCTGTTTCAGAAGTAATATAATGTATATGACAAGGATGAGTATAATTTGTACTTCACTAATTGAAGAAAAGGTTTCAAACTTGATTCATTTTAATATTGTAAAGAAAAAAAGTTCTTTAGTGTAGCTTAATTTAAAATGTAAGATTTTTCAGGTATTCTTCTTGAATTCAAAACTTTTTTCAAAAAACTTTAAAATATAGAGTCATGCATTTTTCCTCCTCAACACCTGGCACATATCCCCCATTTTATCCCACACAGAAATCCAGAAATGTGCTGGAGTCTGTACCTTGCTGTTTCAAACTAGTCTTATTCTTGGGCCTCCTCCTTCCCCTGCTCAAGGATAATGAATAGAAATTGGCAGCTCTTTCTTCCTGCTACAGTTCTCCATATTTTCTTATGGTTTTTCAGTTTCATCTTATGCAGAATATTTCTTAGTTATCTTTTCTTAATATCCAGTCATGTTTGTTGTAGCCAGCTCTTCAGAGATGCTCACACCATTATTTGAGTGATTTAAAACTCATTCGAACAACTTTAGTTTTTTGGTCTATTCAAACCAATATTGGCAATAGCTCTAAGTAGGTCTCAACTTTCCTCCAAGTCCTCTTTCTTATTCTATGTCACAGACTCTTTTCTTGCCTTTAAAGTTAATCAAAGGAATAGGATTTGAGCCTTTAGAATCTCAAATTATGAGGATGAAGCTTTCCTGGAGATAATGTAAGTGGTGGCATAAATATTTTGGGGCCAGATGATACTCTTTTCCTCTTATAGAGAGAAACTATTTAAGATCTCCCTAAACTATGGGAAAGAAGTTATAAATATTAGCTTCTTACTGTGGTATATATATGGGCCTTTTGAAATGCTGTATCAAAATATTCTTCCAATATAGTTTAAAGAACAATTATGAGTGGCTATGCATGTACCAAACCCAGAGGCTTCAGAGATAAATAAACAGTTCTTATCCTAATGTTGTTCTATCTAATGTTAGATAGAACAGTTCTATCATCTGTTCTAACATTAGAACAGATCTAATGTTAGAATCTAGTAATACTAATGGTAATAATTAATAATGTCTATATATTTACTGTGTACCAAATACTGTGGTAAATATTTTATATGGATCACTGCACTTAGTAGCTCTTACCCAGTAAAAGAATCCACCCCCACATAGCTCCTTCTCTCAGAGTAGCATTTAAGATATTGCTGCTGGAATTTATATCACAGTGGTGATGGCCGCAGATATTGTCTTATTTTTAGATGTGTTACTTTCTCATTCGATATATTCAAAACCTCTTTAATGTCATCTTCCCTTTGAGCCCAGTGTTGGTGGCACCCCAGTAGGAAATGAATGGCGATTTTATCTTGGGACATGGTATCCATGTTCCCATGAAAAGATATTTCTACTGCCTCCAAGAGAAGGTTTCTCCGTCATATATAATTATCCAATCCAAAGTCAACTTGAGAGCATAATGTGGGGAGTGTCTCAGGCTCATGGGCAAAATATGGTAATCTAAGCTTGGCCCCTTCAGCTTCCTCCTTAACAAGCAGAGTGGGGTTTGGGGTTAGCTTATGTAGGGCTGCCCACCTTAAGCTTACTACTTAAAGCTAGAACCTTTTAGGAAACTCAAGTGCCTTGCAGTTTAAAAGTAGCGATTATCATTCTCTCCAGCGATGAGTAAAAGGCCTGTGTACAGAAAGATTCTCCTTTCTCCTTTAGTGAAAACTTGTCTTACGGTGTCAGCCCACGCTGAGGTCTTCGACTGACCCAGGTACATGTGCTAACGCCAGCATCTATGTAATCAAAATCAAGCTACAGCAGCCTGCACCCTCTAACTATGGCCATTTGGCCAGGCTTCCTAAAAGCCTGGCAAGGCTTCCTAAAAGCCCTCTTCTTTGCTGAGGTCAGTGAGACTAGGATTCGCTTGCTAGGCTATGAGCAGCTGACCTGTGCTGAAGGCTCCTGTGTGGCTAGCATTTTACTGGAGCTCCCTGAATAGCTCAGGCCTCCAAGGCCTGTGCTTTTGCTGATGCTATGTAGACTCTGCCTGTTGGCTGAGATAACCAACCAATAATATAACAACTCACACAATACGCTGAATATCTGGTACATTTTTCGATGACTCTACAAAAATAGGCAGCCGTTCATCTTTAGACAGAGCCACCATAAACTATAATGATCCATCAAGATGAAAATACCATGTGGCCAGCTCCTAATGCCTTCAGCCATATGTCCAAGTCAACAGTTAAAAAACAACTACACAACTTTAAAAATATTAAAAATTAAATGCTGACCCACACATTAAAATTCCAGCTCCTCCACATGAACCACACTCCCCAATATGCTCCATTTCTATTTTTCATCAATCCAGCCCTATCTACCAGATTCTATCATTCTTCTGAATTAAACTTCTCTACCTAAATTGCAGGACACTTCCACATGGGCAGGATTTTTCACCAGATACTTGGAAAGCAGAGCCAAATATATGTTCACTGGAGGCAGCCCAGCTCCTCAAAAAAAAGGAGTGAAAGAATTGACTGGGCTGGGCTATGCAAGCCCAATTTCTCCTCCCAAACTCTTGGGCTGAAAATCCAAGAATGTTATAATAAAAAGTTTCCTGCATTTAAAGGCAAATTAGGAATAAGTAAATAGCCCCTTTCTCCCATAATTAATATTACTATTTTTAATACAAAAAACCTTACTATTTTTAATACATTCCATAATCTGGCTGAAGAACATTTGATTTGTGAAGTAAGTTTTAAAATATTGCTATTTTTAAGCATATTAAGACTGAAAATATGATTTGATAAATTGTAAGATTCCTTTAATAAGTAGATCAGGCTACCAATTATGTATACAAATTGGTATTTATTAAAAAAATTTTTACACTCAAAATATTCCCCATGTACAAATAATTAATGACTTACAAGCATTTGCTTTATTATTTAAAAAAGTAAAATTCACAAACTTCCTCTATTTAAATTGATAACTTTTCATCATGTACTTTAAAAAGTTAAATACAGAAGTACTAACTCTGTAGGGTACCAGATCCTTGTATCACTTGATAATGGACAGAAAACTAAATAAAACTGTATTGCAAAGACAGTTGTCTTTTGGAGGCTCCAACAATTGTCCTTATGGTGACCCTCTCTACTCATCCAGTTTCTTTGCCCCTGTGATCCCTCTTCAACATATGTTTATCATGCATCCATTATGCACTGGACAAATGCTGTCCCCTACATTGTCTTGGTCCTCAATGTGGCACTGCTGCATATCATTCTTCAGACCACTGTCTCATTTCTTCTTACAACTAGCTGTTGGGGAGAATCTAATCAAGTAACATGATGAGGTAGGAATTATTTTGAATAGCTTTATGTACTTCTCAGTACTGGAGTTTTCACATCTCATATGTAAATATACCTTAACCCAAAAGAATGAATCTACACCTGCATCCAGTAAGGGGTAAATTTTCTTAGAATACCTTTCTGGCTGTCTTCGTATCTAAATGCGACCTGAAAACAAACACAGATACCTACTCTCTCTTGTGATAGAATGCTGCTTGCCGTTCGTGCTGTGCTTTACTAGACACTAGAAATACAGGTTCATATAGTGATAAATATATTCCCTATTACATTTATGTTGAGCTGGTCTATTTGTTATTATCTCTATCTGCCCTATAGAATTACGAGAAATGCACTGTAGAAGTTGGAGACTAAGACATTGGTATGTCTGGGATGGTACAGTTTCCAAACTGCCTTGAAATTATTCTGGAATATTCCCAATTTCATTCATTAAGCACAAATTTGTGATAAGTGTTCTATACCTAAAATGTGACTGGCTTATTGATAGCTTAACCTGAGATGTTTAAAATGAATATTATACTATGTTTGTCTTTCTTTGAACTAGGAGCTGAAGCTAATTTTATGCTGAAAATTCATCCTCTGAAGAAATATCCTGTGGATCTTTATTATCTGGTTGATGTCTCAGCATCAATGCACAATAATATTGAAAAATTAAATTCAGTTGGAAATGATTTATCTAGAAAAATGGCATTTTTCTCCCATGACTTCCGCCTTGGATTTGGCTCATATGTTGATAAAACAGTTTCACCATACATTAGTATCCATCCAGAAAGAATTCATAATCAATGCAGGTATCTAATATTTGACGTGGACTTCCTAATGCTAAACAAATTTAAAATCTTATAAAACCTCATTTTGTTTTTAAATCAAAGACTTACTAAATTTTATATTTTTGTTTTAATTAAATGATAAATGAAAATATGTATAGAAGAAGTATGTTTCTATCTGAAAACTTCTGAAGGGTGGCTTTTTAATTTATATTTTTTCAAATATCATTCACTTAGTTTCTATTACAAAAAACACAAATAATATTAGTAATTTTGGATAAACCTCCAATAATCAGGCTACTATATATATATATATATATATATATATATATATATAAAATACGTCTTTGAAAATTCTGTATTCCTTTTTTGATTGCTCCAAATTTGTTGAATTAAGGTTTATCAAATTTAAAGTACTTATTTTGCCAGTGTTGCATCTATATTTCCATTACTGTATTGTGACTGTTTATAATTACATTGCTTATGATGTGATTTCAAACAAAACTCAGCTAGCACACGGAGGGTAGGTAGGTCAAAAAATGAGAATTTGTTTGCTAGAAAGAGCCCTTTTTCTTATCATTTTGGAACAGCATATTCCCTACTATGAAAGGAAAACAGACCTTTAAAATATGAATTTCTCACACGATACTTAGCCTGTTGAATTTTCAGAGAGAACTAATAATGTGTTCAGTTCGTCCTTAACAAAACATTTCATTTTATCATCTTCTTTCCTACTTTCATGAATTGCCCAGATCTCTTTACAGTATATACTCTAATTTACCAAAACAACTCTGCTTTCTGTTGTAGAGGAACAAGACTGATGCCTCTCCACATGAAGCTTCACACACCTTCTCCCTGAATACAAATGCACCTGAGGAATGATCCTCACCTTTGGGGACATTATGGAATTCTCAAAACAATTTTAATGAATTTTGACCATTCATCAATAATTCTACACCAAGCATCACTTTAAAATTAGAAAAATATTTAAAAATATCTAACAGTAGTATAATATTTTAACTAAATTCCTAAAAACATTTCCCAAAAAGTGTTTTTCAGCTGTTCCATGGGCAAATGTGATAGGAAATCACTGTAAATTTTCATCTCTTAAAAATTAACAGTGCATATTAGCATAATAAAAGCTCTTAGGTGTCCTATATTAAACATGTTTAATCTTCTTTATGTTTTGACAACCAAGGCATTATATTGCTACATGCAAAGAAATATTCACCAATATTGAGCTTTTCTCTGATTTTATAAAATACAGATTTTCTCTAATAAAATTTTCTTAGCAAAAATAAAAAAGGTATTCCCTTCTCACATCAACCACACACTTTTACTATGACCATGAGTAGTATTTTGGATCTTTGAAGGACGCATAGCAAAACAGAATTTGCATTTCTTCTTTACCCATATAGTGACTACAACTTAGACTGTATGCCTCCCCATGGGTATATCCATGTGCTGTCTTTGACGGAGAACATCACTGAGTTTGAAAAAGCAGTTCACAGACAGAAGATCTCTGGAAATATAGATACACCTGAAGGAGGTTTTGATGCTATGCTTCAGGCAGCTGTCTGTGAGGTAAGAAGTTTCACATTATTGAATATTTGCTCAGATGAAAAATTCTCCAAGAATTTAGGATTTTTCCCTTTGATTTATGGAGTGAAAACATAGCATAGAAGAATACATTCTTCTCCTATCTGTTATTCGTCACCAGTATTATTCATTTTGGTATGTGTCCAGGACAGAGGGGCTAAATTAGGAGAGGGTTATAAATAGGAAAAGATAAAAGGGAAAGAATAACTTATGCACTTGGAAAATCATTTCCAAAAGGGCTGCTCTTTTCACTCACTACTCTCCAAGGAAAAAACAGAAATAGCTTGTTGTCCTACTCACATCACAGTGGGCAGTCTGCACTTCATAAACCTGGCTTGTTCTTCCTCTGTGGAACGCCAGAAGTCTCTAGCCAGGAGATAGTGTGGTCCAACGGCTGTGGAACAGGATATACAAATAAAAGTTAATGCTATTTATGAAACAGCACTGAATTTATGCACATCATTCTAGCCTGACTTAATGTTTTAAATTTAATGTTTACTTGAAATGAAGACCATAGTAAATATCTATGTTATTGTATAAGATCTAATTACATGTTTATTTTAAGAGTCACATTGGATGGCGAAAAGAAGCTAAAAGATTGCTGCTGGTGATGACAGATCAGACATCTCATCTTGCTCTAGATAGCAAATTGGCAGGCATAGTGGTGCCAAATGACGGAAACTGCCATCTGAAAAACAACGTTTACATCAGATCAACGAGCATGGTAATACAGCAATAGCCTATTAGTAGTTATGACTTTTCTGGTTATAGTATAAGTTTAAATTGGGAATTCAGCTGTCCTTGTACCGAGAAATTACCTAAAGGATCATGATGCAGAGTCAGGATAAGTCATGAAAGACAAGTTACAGGACAATGCAGTCTATAAATTCTGCTCAATAAAATATAAGGCTGAAATACTTTGATAATATCTAGTAGCTGACTCTCTAATATCCTACAAAGCACTGTATAATTTATGAAAATAAGAGTGATAGAAGAGCTTACTTTTTACTCAACTGAAGGACCTTAAAAGGAAAAGAGCATTATATACATACACGTTTGCCTTTTACTAGTTTACTTATAACTACTTCTACAGGATTAGTATTGAAAAACATATTAGAAATTAAGAAGAACATATTTGGCTTGAGGAATCCTCGCAGTAAAATAGACAGAATCAAAGTAGAGACTAGGGGAAAAAAGGAGTAAAACAAAACCGGCTTTCAATTTTATACCTCACTCCTTCCTTCTGAAGTTTATCTATATTTAAGGGCTCTTTTGTTTAAACAGTGCATATCTGGATTGCTTCCTGAGGGTTAGTTTCGGCTCTGAATCATATATTTAAATACAATCTCTTAGAACATCTTTCCCAGCATTAGCTATTCTTCATGTAGAAAATAACTGCATAAAGCATCATTTCTTGTGACGTGACACCTACTTATAAAGGCATGCAAATGTTAGAACAAAAGCTTCCAAACTTTCTTATATTGCGGTACCTAGTGTCTTAGTAATCTTTTCCCTCGTACACATAGGCAAAACAAGCAAACAAAGAGGCTGACAGTTCTGTTTATTAAGTAGTTAGGTCCAAATAACATAACTATTTGTATCCTAAAAACTTAGTAGCCAGTTAAAGAAATAATACACATGAACATCAAAAAAATGTGTGTGTGTGTGTGTATATATGTATAGTTTGTCATTCTTAGTAAATAAGTTACAATGGGAACTTCCCAAGCCTTGGAATCAGACTAGATATAACCATCCTCACTTCCTGTTCCGCACTGATTTTCATGTTGCCCAGTTTTGCAAAGATATGGCATCATCTAAAAGAATAGAGCCAAATGTAATGGTAAAGCTGTGAACCACCTCCAGCTAGTAGTTCATGGGTACCTGACAGATGCCACGTATTACTGTGCTTCCCTTAAAAATTGAAGATATTTTGAGGTACCCTGGTGAGTGTACTGCAGTGCTCTAAGGCACCTCATGCACAGTTTGGGAAATGCAATATTAGAAGCATATAAATTATGCTGAAATGTGTGTGGTTCCCATGAGTGAAATTTAAATAGTTTAAATTTTGTTAATCTGAAACATTCTACCAGACTTTTTGAAAGTCTAGAGGAGCAAATGTTATTACCGCATAAAACAAGTTCAACCCTTGGTTGGTTTAGATTCTTGAAAGCAGCCTCAACATTTAAAGATTTTAAAAAATAACTAGAATTTGAATTTTAAATTTTAGCATTTGGAGTTATTCCCTTAGTGTCTTTCTCTTTGCTAATTCTCTTCTACTCAGCCACATTTCACTTTGGTAGACCCATCCACTTTAATTAAGTCATTTATTATCTTTCCTTCCATTCAACCTCTTTTAATCTGAGACAGAGTTCTAATTCATTTACTGGGAGTGGAGGAGAAGACAAGAGGAACTATTCTATTGTGAGACAAGTAGAAGCTTTTTTTTTTTTAAAGGGAAAATAATAATCACATTATTCTCAAATTGCATTGCATTATCGTTTTGAAGTTTTGCCAAGTCACTGAAGTCATCGCTCCATAATTGTATTTTAGAGGGTGCTGTTGCTCATATAGGAAGGATTCCTTAAGGCAAAGAAATGTTCTCATACTTTTAGACATATGCCATGCCATATAACCTTATGGAAACAAATTATAATTCTGATGGAATTTTACACAGTGTTTGGGCTCTTATGATATCAGGAATTTGGACAAACTATCATCAACTTTATTTGCTTTCTTGAAAATTGTTTTACCTACTTAAAACAATGAACCTTCCACATGTCACTGATATGTATTGAATAAACCAAGGAGTAGTGTGTTTATTAATAGCTTAGAAGAATATTTTTATCTCATTTATCCCATGTCTGTGTTTTAAGGGATCCTCTTCCTAAGAAGTTCATTCCCTTCATTTCCAGGGACACTGCCCTAAAACAAAAGAAGTTGAAGCATTTTGATTGATCACTTGACTATGTGTTTATATACACAAGGTGTACGACTACTCTGAAACCTCCGACATCCAAAGCTACCCTGAGCCTAATAAGCATATGTACCTGCTTATTTTAAAATGACCTCCATTCTCTCCTATTCAGCCATTATAGAGGAATTTAAAAAGGTATAATTTAGACAAGCAATCAAACACTTTGCTTCTTGGCTTTATGTCTAGCAGCCAATACCAGTAATGTTGAATAGTACCTGAGCTTCTTGGGCCAAGACTCTGGTCCTTTCATTTATAAAAGGAAATGATAAAAGACCTTTTACATGTCTAAATTACATGATCCAGAGTTCTACTGCTTATTCACCTAGCTATTTCATGAGGGTCAATGTGAATTCCAGAATTATAACATCTACCCTGTTTTCAGTTTTTATTAACTGAAACCACATATGTACATACAGTATCAGTATACTGCATACAGTACAGTGTATACAGTATGAAATTTATCTTTACAACAACTTGGTGAGGTAGTCATAGTTATCTTTCTTTTATAAACAGAAAAACTGAGGGGAGAAGAAACTTAGAATGTTGACTGAGGACAGACAGCTAAGAAGTTAATAAGTGGCAGAGGTAGGGCTCAATCCAGTTCAATCTTTTATTAAAATCTATATTCTTAACCACTTTGCCACAGTGTCTCAAGGGAAAACTAGAATAAATAGAGCAGTCAAGTTCTTGCTGTAGTTTCTGCTCTAACTTTCTAGTTACAGTCTTACTTATAGAAGAAATAAAGCAGATAATCTGGCTTACTTAAATTACATAGCATGGCAAAATTTTAAACAGTTTAAGCACTGTTACATTTTATATATGGCCATTGGCAAATAATATTATAGTATTAAATAAATTACCTTTTCCACTGCTTTTTCTCTGGTTGCCAGTATGAAAAACTTGAGTAGTAATGTAGTTTTATAATTTACCAGTAATAATGCCAGCTTAAAATAAGAAATTGTTTCTAAAATGGTAGAGGTTAGTATAAAAATTGTTAATGGTGTAGAAGACAGGTTAATACTGAGGTTCTAGAATTTCACCCTGTCTCCCTACCCAGCTCCTCCAGGGTGATTCCCAACTTCATGCAAAGCCCTCCTCACAACCATTCACCCCATCCTTGGCCAAGAATAACACCAGAGTCTCCAGTAACAATGAAAGGGGCCCAAAGAGCAAATATTTGGAAGAGGCAGGTCATGCAATGAACCATGATTAATGGGACTTTCAAATATTGCTGTGACTCTCAGTCCTGATGGAGAGATGCAAATAAGCAAGATCCTACCACGCTTCTAATTATATTAGTAGCTCAGGTATGGTGTTTTTCTCTGAGCATTTTTTTGTGCCCCATCATATTACAGTCAGTGATTCTTCACCCCTCCTATCATTTAACTCCTCAGAATTCCTTTACTTATTTAGTCTCATGGAAATTACTGATATATAATTATAAGAATAATAACATTAAAATTCTAATATGTCAAAACTAAAGCATATAATAAAAATTTTCAACTTATTTCCTGATTCTTACTTTGTTTTTCTCTGCTTAACACTGCATAAGAAAAACTTTTTAAATTAATTAAAAAGATAAGATCAGTTTAGAGTGTTAGCACCTTTGGGTTTTATGAACATGCACCATCAGGAAAGTAAAGGGAATATCACTCAGGCTAAATGCACCCAGAAAGTTTTAAGTCCATATGCAGCTGGTTTTTAAAAAAATATTGTTACAACTTTTAGTTAAAGGTAAAGAGAGAACTTCAGCAAGAGAAAAATAAAGAGTCACATACAAGGGAACACCCATAAGGCTATCAGCTGGTTTTACAGCAGACTTTGCAGGCCAGAAGGGAGTGACATGATATACTTAAAGTGTTGAAAGGAAAATATCCCCTACAACCTAGGATACTCTATACAGCAAGTCATCATTCAGAATTGAAGGAGAGAGAAAGAGCATCTCAGACAAGCAAAAACTAACAGAGTTAACACTAAACCAAACTTACAAGAAACATTAAAGGGCGTTCTTTAAGTGAAAAAGAAAAGGCTGTAACAAAGAAATAAATTATAGGAAGGGGAAAATGCCACTGGTAAAGGCAGATATATAGTAAAGACAGGGGTTCAACTACCTAAATAAGCTACTACAAAGGTTAAAAGACAAAAATTGTAGAATCAACTAAAACTACAATAAATAATTAAGGGATTGATATGAAGATATAAAATACGATATCAAAAACACAAAATGTGGAGGGGATAGTAAAAAATGTAGCTCTTTTAGAATGTCCTTGAACTTAAATGACTATCAGTTTAAAACAAGTAGATATAGTTAAAGGTCAAAATATATGAACTTCATGATAACCACAAATCAAAAACCTGCAACAGGCATACAAAAACTAAAAAGAAAAGAGATGAGCTAAAGCACACCACTAAACTAAAAAGAGACTAAAACTAAAAAGACATGAACACAAGCATACAACTAAAGAAAATCATCAAACCACAAGGGGATAGACTAAAACAAGAAGACAAAACAGAGAAACAACCAGAAAAAAGTAACAAAATGGCAATAAGCACATACCTACCAATAATCACTTTAAATGTCAATGGACTAAATGCTCCAATCAAAGGACACAGCGTGGCTGATTGGATAAAAAATAACCCATCTATATGCTGTTTATAAGACACTCACTTGAGAGCTAAAGATAAACAGACTGAAAGTAAGGGGTTGATATTCTATGCAAATGGAAACAAAAGAAAGCTGAAGCAGCAGA